CCACACCACCCTCCCCACCCCACAGTCTGCCACGTGATCAAGCAGGGCCGCTGCACACTGGTGACAACGCTACAGATGTTCAAGATCCTGGCGCTCAATGCCCTCATTCTGGCCTACAGTCAGAGCGTCCTCTACCTGGAGGGCGTCAAGTTCAGTGACTTCCAGGCCACGCTGCAGGGGCTTCTGCTGGCAGGCTGCTTCCTCTTCATCTCCCGATCCAAGGTGGGCCTACCTGGACCCTTGCGGCTGAGCAGTGCGCCTCCACCTCGGGGGTGGGAGAGGCGGGCAGGAGGATCTGGCCTGGTGGTACGCTGGGTGAAATGACCTGGAAGTAAGCAGCAGGTGCAAGCCTTTGGGCTACACCCCCGTGTGCCTCTGAGTGCGGGCAATGCAGGGCCAGGCTCTTGGGTGGGCTGCTCCCCAGAGTTCAAAGACCAAGAACAGGCTGGAACAGAGGTCATTGAGAGTACTTCAGAAGGTGTACGGTGACAGTGAAGGACAGATGGGCACTCAGATAGCGTGGGTACTGTCTTTTTGTGTCTTAAAACCCCTGTGGCTACAGTGGGGAGAGATGAGATGAGACTGCTGAGGGCAGAGAGTAGGCAGGAGACTGGGGGCTTCCAGGGTGATCCCAGGCCCTGGTTCTACCCTGTGTCACAGCCCCTCAAGACTCTCTCCCGAGAGCGGCCCCTGCCCAACATCTTCAACCTGTACACGGTGCTCACAGTGATGCTGCAGTTCCTTGTGCACTTTCTGAGCCTCATCTACTTGTACAGGGAGGCCCAGGCCCGGAGCCCTGCCAAGTGAGTACCTGCACCCCACCTGGACCCCACTCCTCCATGGAGTGGGGAGGCCCAGAGGTGACAACTCTGGTGCCTAGGTAGGGTGGGGTGTGCCTACAAGGGTGGGGATGCAGCATAGGGCCAGCCAGAGCCCTGATAGCACAGCCCACAGGCAGGAGCAGTTCGTGGACCTGTACAAGGAATTCGAGCCAAGTTTGGTCAACAGCACCGTGTACATCATGGCCATGGCCATGCAGACGGCCACCTTCGCCATCAACTACAGGGTGAGGCCCGGGTGCCCCCACCTAGTGTACCACACCCCTACCCCCACCCCCAGCCTCCAGTTGGCACTGTTTTTTGTTCCTCTGTCCATAGGGCCCACCCTTCATGGAGAGCCTGCCTGAGAACAAGCCCCTGGTGTGGAGCCTGGCTGTGTCAATCCTGGCCATTGCTGGCCTGCTCCTTGGGTCCTCACCTGACATCAACAGTCAGTTCGGCCTGGTGGACATTCCTGTGGAGGTGAGTGCAGTGGTGGCAGGGGATGGGGGCTGGCCTGGGCCTGGCTGCCAGCTCATGCAATCTCCCCTCTGGCCAGTTCAAGCTAGTCATTGCCCAGGTCCTGCTCCTGGACTTCTGTCTGGCATTCCTGGTGGACCATGTCCTGCAGTTCTTCCTGGGGACCCCAAAGCTGAAAGTGCCTTCCTGAGATGGCAGTGCCTGACCACTGCCCACTGGCCCTGCCCAGGGGAGCCCTATGGGGCCTCCAAGGAAGCCCAGCCCCATGGCTCGGCCAGCCACCTCGCCCACCACGCTGAGCAGGGCCTTGCAGGGGCCATCAGTGGCCCGTCCAACAGAACCAGCCCCGGGCCAGCACCTTCAGTCAATAAAAGCAGCATTGTGATTTTAAAAAGCCCTGCCTCCTTGTCTTTGCCACTGTGGAGTCTGGGGACAGGGATGGGACCATCTAGAGCCTTGGCCAGAAGGTTGCAGAGGAAGGTACTGGTGGCACCCTCCCCGGGCAGTATCAGGTGGTTAATAATGATGGCGTTAGGTGCTTAGCCAGCTACACTCCAAGCCAGAAGCCCTCAGCTCTTATCTGTTAGTTACCAAGCTTCCCACCCACTGCCATGGAGTCGATTCCAACTTGAAGCAACCCCCATTGGGTTTCCAAGGCAGTAAGCAGAAGTAGATTGCCTCATCTTCCTTCCATAGAGCAGCTGGGCAGTTTGAACTGCCAGCCTTGTGGTTAGCCTTAGGCCCTGTGCCACTAGAGCTAAGCATAGTAGCTCTGATTTCACACTGTTTTTCACAATTTAACAGCTCAGGAATTGAGAGGAGGCTTAAAACTGATAGGCCGTGTTTGGCCAGCATTTTCCCCTGACTTGTAATAAAATGTCTTCCTTTTGATGGTGTCCTTAGGTTCAGAGACAGGCCTTGTCATCAAACCTCTCCCCAGGCCCAGCCTCAGTGCAGGGGCAAGTGTCATTGTCCTCTCAAACTACTAATGTCACAGATATGGCTGGGCCCAGCGGCCCAGGCCTGAGAGGAGGGCCAGGCCTTCTACCTTTGTGTTCAAGCCAGGCCTGCAAGGGCTCAGATTGCAGAGCAGATAGGGAGTCTGTCTGGTGGGCATTCCTGACCTTCCCAAAGCAACATTATAAACATACTTTACTTCTAGCCAGAAATTCCACTGAGTGGGGTGTGGGTGCATTTTTACGAGATGCATGTGACCTCTGGCAGAGGTTCCACCTTCCCTGCTGCACCTAATGGCAGCTTCAAGACCCTTCCCCACTTCCAGGGAAGCGAGGAGGGGGGTGGTGGCCAGGGGTGATGGCCTGGCTGGAGCTGAGTAGATGAGTCTCTGCGCATGCCCGCTGCGGGGCGGGATCATAGGAGGAGTTGGGCACTGGACCCCGCCCGGCGAAGAGGCTGGTGTGATTCTGCAGCCCCGTCACACACGCAATATTGATGAGGCGCTGAATCCGAGATGACTGCCAAGAGAAGAGCTCTGGACTTGGGGGTTGCAGGGAGGGGACTCTTGGGGAGTGTGGGGGGCAGGGCTGGGGTTTGCCATACCCCTCCCCCCGCGATTGAAGGTCGGTGGGGCAGGGTAGCTAGGAGAGCTCGTTCCAGCGCTGTAATTGGGGCCTCGAATCTCATCCAACTACCGAGGGTCTAGGCCCTAGAGCTTCAGGGGACTTCAGATTCGACTGGAATCCGGTCACCAACAGGGGGCGCCGTGGCCCCTACCGGCCCGGGGTGCGTTAAGGGGTCCTGAAGGAGACCCCAGGGCAGGAACGTCACTAGGTCGTAGCTTTCCAGACCCGACAGATTTTCTGACTGGACTGGGGGATTACTGCGGGGTGACGATGTCCTGCGGGCTTTGGGGAGGCACAGAGATCCGGGAATGGGGGCTTCTGGCAGGGATGGAGTCCTAGAATGTCCGGGTCAGGGGCACTGCGACCTGGGGTGGTTGCCTAGGGGCCCTGACCTGATGCCATCACAGGGAACTCTGACAGGAGGAGCTATCCAGGCGTCTCCCCCGCCCCGGCCCCACAAACTGGACCCGTCAGGTACTCACCGCGCTTCCGGGCCGCGGGGTGTGGCCTCCGGGGGCGTGGCTGTCGGGGGCGGAGCGGACGCGGAACCCGGGCGGCAGCGGTCGCAGGAAATCCGAGCTGGGCCTAGCCCGCGCGCGACCCCATCCCTGCCCTCGCGAAGCGAACCCTGGGCCGGGCCATGGACGCAGCAGAGCCGGGTAGGGGGTCGGGGTTCGGAGTTCGGGGAGGGTCATCTCCCACCGTCCCCTACTTCGCAAATTGAGGGAGCCCTGCCTGTTCCTCGGTCTGTACAGCCCTAGAGCAGGGAGAGGAGTTCCTGAATGGGGAGGACTCGAGGACCTTTCACTGTGGGGATCCCAAGCCGAGCAAGGGCCCGAGACACCAGACCCCTGACCCCCTCCCCCTTCTGAGCCCTCACCCCGGATGCCTGGGGGAGGGGGCCAGGAAGGGGAAGTGGCTGCTTCTGCTTCTGATCTTTGTGATGGGGGCAGGGTATCACTGTCACAGGCGGTGATGGCCAGGGCGACGCGGTAGGACCCTGGCGGGGTTCCTCCATAGCCATGGGGTGGGGGCAATGTAGATCTGGGCCCCTTGGGGTGGGGGCGGCAGAAATGTAGCAGCATGGGACTTGCACTTCCTTCTCTCTTTGTGTCTCTGTATGCAGAGTGTCACTGGGTCTTTTTGTACCTCATTGTGGCTTCAGTCGGCCCCTGTGTGTGCTTCTGCCTCAGGCTTTTCATCTGTCTGCCCCACGTGTACTTCCATCTGCCTGCTCTAGGGTACATGTGGTTCCATTGTAAAGGCAGCTGCATCTTGGGGCATTTACTTTGTGGCTTTCCTGCCCAGTTGGTGCCTGTGTGGGTGTCTGCCCCTCAGAGCAGCTCTGGGTCCATCATCTTGTCCCAAGCTTACTCCCCCCATCCTAGCCTCCTTCCAACCAGGATCAGACACCCAGCCCCTTCCCAGACACAGGGCCCCCTACCCCATCCCACACTTCCCACTGGGCCAGGAGGGAATGAAGCAGTGACATACACACTTTCACAACCCTGCAAATGCACTGAGGTGCTATGGGTGGAGGGAGGCAACCCTCAAGTGCAACACCCCCCACTCTCCAGGGTTCTCCCCGGCTCCCGAGGGCAGGAAAAGGTACAGTGACATCTTTCGGAGCCTGGACAACCTCGAGATCTCACTGGGGAACGTGTGAGTCTGAGCCTGGGTCACCCCCCAAGTCCTTTTGGGATCCCAAACTCCAAGCCATTTAGGTGCCCTGAAGCCCCACTACAAACCTGCAACACCTGGAACCACTTACCTCATAATCAGATAACCAAACCCCCCAAAATTCACTGGGAATCCCCAATGGGTCCTAAACCAAACCAAGCTCATTGCCATTAAGTCAATTCCAACTTAGCAACTGTATAGGACAGGGTAGAACTAGCCCATAGGGTTTCTAAGGCTGTAGCCTTTTGGAAGCAAATTACCAAATCTTTCTCCTACAGGGCAGCTGGTGGGTTCAAAAAAACCGACCTTTTGGTTAGCAGCTGAGCATGTAATCATTGCCACCAGGGCTCCCTAACATGGTCCTTGTACCTCACTTACCCTTCTTGTGACTCTTTAAAACATTTGGGATCCCTGTAGTCCCACTCTGAACTCCAAATGTACTTTCAAAACCTTTCCCAAGCCAGGTAAAAATTCCTGGTCCCTTAAACACCCCAACCCTCAGATCTCCCAGACAGAGATGCCACCACTGATGTGAAATCCAGGACCATCCATCAAAATGTCCTGGGGTCCCAGCATCCTCAGACAGGACAGATTAGGTGGAGAGTGGGTAGCATCCTTACATCCCTACCCTCCAGGACCCTTGAGATGCTGGCTGGAGACCCTGTGCTTTCAGGAGACCCTGAACCTGACAAGGCCCCAGCAGCCACTGTGGTGAGAAGGATAGGGTGGCATCTGAGGGGGGGGGGGCATCAAGGAGATGGGAGCTTAAGGGAGGAGAGAACTCGGGGAGGAGGGGGCTGAGACCCCTGCCCTGCTAGCTCCTGAGTGCTCTCTCCCTCCTGCCCCAGACCAGTGAAACCAGTTGTTGGAGCAACCCCTCCTCAGAGAGTCCTGTATCCCTCACAGGTAGGGGAGTGCTTTGTGGTCAGGGTGGCTGGGACAGAAAACAGTCCTTTCTTCAGCAAATCAGGACTGCCTCTTCTGTGTCAGGCATTGTTCTGGGTGCTGGAGACCTGGCAGTGCCCATGACAGATCAAATCTCTGCCCTGCCCTCAGGGAGCCCCCAGTCTGAATGGAGAATCAGATGGGTACTGACCACTGTAAAGTTGCAACCAGGACACGAGATGCCAAAGGGGTATTTGGGGAAACCATGAGGGTATAGAATGGGCCACTGATCTGGTCTGGTGGTTCAAGGAAGGCTTCCACTGGAGGGCAAGGGTCAGAAATCAGGGTGCACCGTGCCATCTGCCCCAGGGGAGGAACTGGACTTGCGACTGATTCGGACCAAGGGAGGTGTGGATGCGGCCCTAGAGTATGCCAAGACATGGAGTCGCTATGCCAAGGAGTTGCTGGCCTGGACTGAGAAGAGAGCCAGCCATGGTGAGAGCCCCTTGTGGCCTGCCCTAAGCCTTAGACATCCCCCCACCCTGGCTGGCAGGGCCCAGACTACGGCTGTCTTTCCCCCAGAGCTGGAGTTTGCCAAAAGCATCATGAAGATTGCAGAGGCAGGCAAGGGGTCCATCCATCAGCAGGTAGCCATGAGCAGACCCTGGGTTGGGCCCTGTCCCCACCCCAGCCCCTACCCAGGTCCTTAACTTCCTTCTGCCACTCCCCTGCCCCCCAGAGCCACATGCCACTACAGTACATTTACACACTGTTTCTGGAGCATGACCTTACACTCGGAGCCCTGGTGCAGGAGACGGTGGCCCAGCAGAGGAGAGACTACTACCAGGTGAAGGGGCAGAGCAATAGTGGGGGGCTATGCTTCCTTTCCTGTGAGATTCTGTTGTCATCCTCAACATGAGCCTTAGCAACTGGCCCAAGGTCACACAGACTCAAACAAGGCTTCCTGTGTGACTGAAATCTGTCTTGTTTGTGGAGGGAGTGAAGTAGCTGAGTGTAACCAGGAAGGAACCTTGGGTCTGCAAGGGTGGGCAGGGGCCTGGGGTGACCACTGAAACTCTGCGTGGGAACAAGGTGGGACCAGAGAAGGAAGTGCATATGGTCAGGAGTAGTGGAGGAAATGCTCAGTTGCTGGCCAGGAAAGGCCCTCATGGAGCCCTTGGGTGGCCTGGAGGCAGCATTCCCATCCACTGCCTCCACCCCATCGCCAGCCCCTGGCAGCCAAACGCACTGAGATTGAGAAGTGGCGGAAGGAGTTCAAGGAGCAGTGGACCAAGGAGCAGAAGCGGATGGTGAGGCCCGGGGTGGGGGCAGGGAGGCTTGGCAAAGGGGGCAGGTATTCATGAGGGTGGGGCTGACTAGCCACCTTCCCCAGAATGAGGCAGTGCAGGCGCTGAGGCGGGCCCAGCTCCAGTATGTCCAGCGCAGTGAAGACCTGCAGGCCCGCTCCCAGGGGTCCCCAGAGGACCCGGCCCCCCAGGCCTCTCCTGGGCCCAGCAAGCAACAAGAGCGGCGGCGGCGTTCACGGGAGGAGGCCCAGGCCAAAGTGAGGACCCCCCTACCCTTCCAGCTCTGGCATTGGCACCTCACACCCTTGCCCACAGGCCTCCCGCCTCGGTTTCCCTAGGCTCAGGAGGCCGAGGCACTGTACCAGGCCTGTGTCCGTGAGGCCAATGCACGGCAGCAGGACCTGGAGGCCGCCAAGCAGCGGATCGTGTCCCATGTGCGCAAGCTGGTGCTGCAAGGGGACGAGGTGCTCAAGAGGGTGAGGCATTTCCCCACAGGGATGCCTGTGCCCACCCCCTCCTGGTCACGAGAAGGACACCCCATTTACTACCTTGTCTCTATAGACCAGGTTCCTCCCCCATGTAACCCTGTCTGGCGTCTCTGAGCTACCCCTACAAGGCCAAGGTTAAGCTCCGCCCAGCCCTCCAAACCTCCTCCTGCCAATCCTTCCCCCTCCTACCCCCCAAATGACCACACCCCGGTCTCCAGGTGAACAGCCCATGTTCCTAAACCACCTCCCGGTTACAACCCCGCCCCCAGATGACCCCGCCCCCAGGTCTGTGGACCAGGTTCCACCCCATGCACTCTGGCTCCGCCCCTGGGCCCCTGGGCCCTGCCCCATCCCTGATCCGCGCCTCTGCTGGACAGGTGACCCTGGGCCTGTTTGGGCTGCGGGGTGCTCAGGCAGAGCGTGGCCCCCGTGCTTTTGCGGCCCTCGCCGAATGCTGCGTGCCCTTTGAGCCGGGCCAGCGCTACCAGGAGTTTGTGCGGGTGCTGCAGCCCGAGGCCCCGCCACCCCCGCCTCCAGCCTTCTCTTTCCAAGAGTTCGTGCCTGCGGTGCACAGGTAGGCTGGGGGGCAAGGTGTGTTGGTGCTGTGGGGTCCAGGTACCTGGTGTTAGTATTCAGTATTTGGGAGTCAATGAATTTAAAGCCTCAGGACTTGAAATTCAGTACCTAAGGGTGTCGTTTTGGGGGACACTCTCTTAGTACTGGGAGCTCTGATGGCCTAAGGCATCTGTCTGCTGACCAGAAGGCTCCTTGGAAGGAAGATTGGGCAATCTACTTCTGTAGAGATACAGCCTTGGAAACCCTAGGAAGGGTTGCTATGAGTCGGGATCAACTCGACAGCAGTGAGGTTGGTTTTGATTTGTCTTAGTACTGAGGAGCTTTGGTGGCATATTGGGTAAGGCATTTGGCTGCTAACCAGAAGGTCAGTGGTTCAAACCCACCGCTATTCCGTGGGAGGAAGATGAGGCAATCTACTTCCATACTTCCATAAGGATTTAGTCTTGGAAACCTAGTGGGAGTCACTATGAGTTGGAATCAACTCGATAGCACTGGGTTGAGTTTGGTCTTAGTACTGGGAGGGTAGAGCTTTGGGATTACTGCCTTGATGGGGCCACAGTGCACAGGGACATCAGGGCTTGGCGTTCGATCCTCCGGATAGCACCTGGGTACTCCTACCGCACTGGGGACTGAGCCCTCAAATCCTCTCTTAGCTCCCCTCTGGACACTAGAAAGAAGCTCTCAGGCCCCCTGCCTACCCATCTGGATGAGGGTGCAGCTGAGCCAGGCCCCTGGGAGGACATGGGCCCCCGCTGGCAGGGTGAGTGCCATGAGGGCCAGGTGGGCATGGTGCCAGGCTATGGTCAACCTAACTGACCTGTTCTCTCCTAGGGACCCCAGGCCCCACCCCAGGTAGCGATGTGGAAAGCGTGGGTGGTGTCAGTGAATCTCGGTCCCTGGACTCTCCTACTTCTAGCCCAGGTAGGGTCACGACCTGGCGCTGACCCACTTTTGACCTCTGACCCATTTTCTAGTAACTGATCAAGCTCGGACTCTCAATCTTTAATGTGTTTTTGGACTTCTGATCTACCCCACACTCTTGAGCTTCTGACCCATTTCCTCGATCCAACTCATTCTCTCACCCCTAATCTTGGACCTGAATAACCCCGTCCTGAACTCTGATCCCTTACCCAAGGGCATCTGTGGGTGGTTCTGGAAGCCAGAAGGGTCTCTTCAGCCCTGTGACAACAACCCCCCCCCCCCGTGACCCCCTGGCTCCAGGCCCTGGCTCGAGGCGGCTGGTGAAGGCCTCATCCACAGGCACCGAGTCCTCAGATGACTTCGAGGAGAAAGAGCCTGGTGAGGTTGGAAGCAGGGTGGGGTGGGGTGGAGTGGGTGGGCCAGGCCCCTGAGCACCTCTCTCCATAGACCTGGGAGATGGACTAGAGAATGGGACAGCCAGCCACTTTAGGAAGTGGACACTATCCAGTGCGGCACAGACCCACCGACTTCGGCGGCTGCGGGGCCCAGCTAAGTGCCGAGAATGTGAGGCCTTTATGGTCAGCGGGACGGAGTGTGAGGAGGTATGGCCTGGTCCCATGACCTAATGACCTCTAACCCTGACGGCCTTCCTGGTCCCAGTGACTCCAGGGATATATCCCACCTAAGATCCCTATGACCTTCCCACCCTAGGACCTTCACTGATCTCTGACCCATGATCCCTTGACCTCAGAATCCCTGTGACTAATTTTTTCCCCTACGAGCCGCTGATCACCTTTCTGATCCCAGGCCCTATGATCTGTCCCCCAGTGTTTTCTGACCTGCCACAAGCGCTGCCTTGAGACACTGCTGATCCTCTGTGGACACAGGCGGCTCCCAGCACGGACCCCCCTCTTTGGAGTTGACTTCCTGCAGCTGCCCAGGGACTTCCCGGAGGAAGTGCCCTTTGTGGTGACCAGGTGCACGGCGGAGATAGAACATCGCGCCCTGGGTGTGCAGGTGCCACCTTGACCCCTGACCCTTCCCCAGAGGTGACCCAGTCTTGCCAGTGGTGAGAGTCACTAAGCCAATCGTCCACCCCTCCTGGCCCTGCAGGGCATTTACCGGGTCAGTGGGTCCCGGGTCCGCGTGGAGCGGTTGTGCCAGGCCTTCGAGAATGGGCGCGCATTGGTGGAACTGTCAGGGAACTCACCTCATGACGTCTCGAGTGTCCTCAAACGGTTTCTCCAAGAGGTGGGTGCTCAGGGGCTGGGGGACAGGGGATGGACAGGCCTGGCCCAAGGCCTTACATGAGCCTACCCACACCTGTGTCCCTGCCCATTGCACCCCCAGCTCACCGACCCTGTGGTCCCTTTCCACCTCTACGATGCCTTCCTCTCTCTGGCCAAGACTCTGCATACAGATCCTGGGGACAACTCTGAGACCCCCAGCCCCAGCCTTGAGGTCATCCGCTCACTCAAGACTCTCTTGGTGCAGCTTCCTGACTCTAACTACAATACCCTGCGGCACCTGGTGGCCCATCTGTTCAGGTGGGCACTGGTGACCCTTGACGTGTGACTTCTGACCTGAAGCATGGATCTGTGATCCCTCCCCTGGACATACAACTATTGATCCTTGACACTGATCTCTGATCTTTGACAGGTGTTTTTCTAAGTTCTGAACCTTAATACACAACTCCTGACTTTGGGTACTGATCCCCGACCCTGGGCATGTGCCTGCTGGTGGTCTCAAATAATGCCCAAAACTACTTACTCAGGACTTGGGCATGTCACCACTGTGGGTCCTGCCTTTACCCTGAGGCCGATGGCTGTGCACCCTGCCCTGACCTTTTTCCTCACACTTTCTCCAGGGTGGCTGCACAGTTTGAGGAAAACAAGATGTCTGCCAACAACCTGGGCATTGTGTTTGGGCCGACGCTGCTGCGGCTGCCGGGTAGTCCAGGGGCAGCTGGCACCGGCCCAGTTGCCTGCCTGCTGGATTCAGGGTACCAGGCACAGCTGGTTGAGTTCCTCATCACACACTATGAGCAGATCTTTGGGATGGACGAGCTGCCCCTGGCCACAGAGCCCCCATCCCACCAGCCCAGCCTGGGCCCTGGGGCCCTCACAGCCAGCACCCAGCCAGTGCCCACACAGCTCATCCCAGACCCCCTGCCCCCAGCCCTAGCCTCAGAGCCAGGCCCAGATCCTGAGCCTCAGAGTGCCCTGGAAAAGCCTCCTGAGGCTACACTCCCTGAGGTAGGAACTGGCTACTTAATCTCCTCTTCCTTTCCTTCCCATTAAAATTTTCTCTTTCTTTCTCTCCTTCCCTTTCTTATGTAAGCTGTGCTCATTCTGGAAGAAACAGTGAATAGAATGAGAGGTCATAATGGACTAACAACAAGTGTAACATGGGTGACCATCCATTCCTTCCACAGAATATTTATTGAACACCTGTGTCCCTGATGATCTGCTTCTGAAAGGTCACAGCTTTGAAAACCCTACACAATTCTACAGTTCTACTCACCAGCAGGGTGGGGTAGGAGCTCTGGTAGCATAGTGCCTAAGGCACTTGACTGCTCACCAGAAGGCTGGTGGTTCAAACCCACCAGCCACTCCTCGGAAGGAAGGTTGGGCAATCCTACTTCCGTAGTGATATTGCCTCGGAAACCCAAGGAGGGGTCGCTATGAGTCGGGGCCGACTCGATGGCAAAACAACAACAACAACAACAACAACTCACCAGCAGCTAACAGTAACACTACATGCCAAGCATAGTTCTAGGCATTAGATACACCAGTATACATCAGAGCAAAGCCAGCACCCCAACCTCCTAGTGCCTGCATTCTAGTGGGGAAAGACCACAGTAAACCACAGATACGATGCAGTCGGTTACGTGTGTGAGGCACGAGGAGTACTGTGGGGAAGAGAGAGGGTAAGCGGCATCAAGGTACCAGGTGGGGGGAGTGGAGGGCCGTCTGTTGTAGCAAATAGGAGGTTATGGACTGGCCTCATGGGAGAGGCAGATAGGCTCAAAGACTGGAAGGTGAGACAGCCATGTAGAGATTGGGGAACTGTGTTGTAGGCAGGAAAACAGGCGGTTTGCAAGACCTTCGGTGAGGACCTGGGGTGTTCAGGGTACAACTTGGTGCTGGAATGAGTGAATAGGGGAAGGTGGCAGGAAGTGAGGCTAGAGAGGGGTCTGCCTGGATGGCTCTGTGGGCCACCACTGACCACATACCTACTTATGGGAACATCAAAACCAAACCCTGCCATTGAGTCTATTCCGATTTACACCCATCCTGTATAGGACACAGTAGCAATGCCCCGCGGGGTTTCCAAGGCTGTGATCTTTACGGAAACTAACTGCTATATCTTTCTCCCTTGGAGTGGCTGGTGGGTTTGAACTGCCAACCTTTCAGTTAACAGCCAAGTGCTTAACCACTGTGCCATCAAGGCCTACTATGTAGGGAGCACTTTATAGTTTCCTGGAAGCCTTAGCAGGCGGATCCTATAGCAGAGCTCACTTGTCAGGATGAGAGCACAATTACAAATCTGGAAGGCCCATGCAGGTGAATGGTTCGGAGCCCTCCCTCCCTTCCTCCCTTGATCCCCCTGCACCCACTGTTCCCAGAGCACTGCCCTCCCTGACAGCAGCTCAGAGCTCAATACCAGTGTCTGACATGTAGAAGGAACTCAGGTTGGTAGTGTCCCTTTAGCTAAAGAGAGAACAGTGAAAGTACAAACTGAGAGCAGACATATGATTTCAGAAGCAGAGAAGGATGGGAACGTGAGCTCACAGCCAGCACCAGCCCTGACTTGGAGGTGACTGAGCCACCCTTTTGTGCGGGCCTTCTGCTTGGGATTGGGCTGCAGGGCTGCCCCCTCAGAGCCACAGTCCAGTCGGGTGACCCAAGTAGATGTTAAAAGCTGCTCTGTGCAGGAGAAGCAAGCAGTCCAATTTGAAGGGCATCGTCTACTCCCAAATATTGAAAGTAAAAAGGAATGTCTGCATGCCCAGGAACAAACCCTCAGCTCTCCAAAAGTCTAGAAGAACTAGGATTCTGCTGTTGGGGCTCATTCTTGGGTTTCTCCATGCAGACTCCAACCCCGCAGAGCGACCAGAGAGAGGAAGTGGCCCCAGACACCAGAGACAGGGGAGGCAAAGGTGAGTGTGTTGCGGAGTAGCCCAGGAGTTCTGGGGGTGCCCTTGCCCCAAGCTAGTTTGGCTGGGATAGGGCTTCTGAGGAGAAGACCAGAGGCCTTGGAGGTGCTCAGCATTGGCTACCCCATCCCCATAGCACCCAGCCGAGGTCCAGAGGACTCACTCTTGGGAGCACAGTCCCGTGGCCACTTCAGCCGCCAGCCTGTGAAGTACCCTCGAGGGGGTGTGCGGCCTGTCACCCACCAGCTGTCCAGCTTGGCCCTGGTGGCTTCCAAGCTGTGTGAGGAGACCACTGTCACATCAGTGCCCCGTGGGAGCTTGCGGGGACGGGGGTCTGGCCCTGCAGCCGCCTCCCCTGAGGGCAGCCCCCTGCGCCGCAACCCACTGCCCAAGCACTTTGAGATCACCCAGGAGACGGCCAGGCTACTCTCCAAGGTGCATGGCAAAGCTGTGCCCACAACCACGTGCTGCATGGACGCCCAGCCTGAGGCCACTGGCTGTGGGGACCTCCAACCTGAGGAAGTTGAGGACCATCTCTGACCATCTCCCAGCCTGGCAGAGGGGCTCAGAACTGAGAAGATGGACTCGCTTCTGCCCACTTCCCCCCAGCAGGCAGCCAGACAACAGACCAGGAGTTCAGTGTTGGGGGGGCTTGGGAGAGGTCCTCTGAGGAAAGACTGGACGGCCTCAGGGAGGCCTAAAACCCTCTCTGAGGCAATGTCCCAGGACTCCTACCTCACCAGACACAGATCACTGCAACATCAGGGTCACTCAGGGTCAATGCTCAGGTTCAACACAGGTCACTGGATCCTTGGGGTCCATCCAAGTCTCTGTCCCCTGGGGCAGGGGTGCCTTTTGCTACTTTTGTTGTAGCCCTTTTCTTCCCTCCTCCTCCTCCCTCACCCTGCCCGCCTCATCTCCTGAATCCAGGTGGAGGGAGTAGGCAGTTCAAACATGACTCCCCACGTCCTGGTGACGTTTAGAGTCTGGTGGCCCCTAAATAAAACTGTGTCCTGTGTGCTCTCGCATGTCTTTCTTTACCAGGGGAGGGTGACAGAGAAGTCAGGAAGGCCAACGTCTTCTGCCCCCATTCTCCTGACAGGGGGTGGGGTGGGGCCGGGAGCGGAGGCCCCGTTCTTTAATCCTCCAACATCCCTGAGCAAGCAGCTGCGGTAGCCACAAGGCTCCGGCTGAGTCATGCCAGTGGCCCCTCCCGGAACTCTGCGTCCCCAATCCGATCCTGCATAATCAAACAACTATAACAAAGTGCAGATAACCGGGACAATGTGGCTGTGTGCTCTGGGTCGTGGGAGGCCGTCCGCCGCGGAGAGGCCGGGGGAGGAACCCGCTGGGCCAGGCCAAGCAGGGGATGCAAGGGCGAGCTCACAAGAAACGAGTGCGGCTGGACTGTCGGCTGCGGTTAGAGAGGCCTCCGGGCGTCGGAGGCTGCCGCTCTCGGTAGCTCCGGAGTGGGGAAGCGGAGGCGGGCGGGGGTCTCCGCGGTGGGAGTGGGGTCGGATCAGGGCGTGGCTTGCAACGCAGCGACCGATTGGACGCCAGGAAGGGGGCGGGCGGGGGCGCGGACCCCAGACCACCCGGAGTTGCGCCCCAGGCGGTACTAGGTCACAAAGGAAGTTGTCCGGCCGCCGGGCCACTCAGCCTTGAAGGTCCGAAACTGCGGGCGTGCGAGGTCTGCATAGGCCAGGGTGGGGGCGCTGGAAACCAAGAGTGGTCGTGACCCAGGGGCCGCGCAGAGGGAAGGAAATAGAGGGGCTGCGGTCCCGGGCGACCCCGCCCCCGTCACGAAGGCGGGGCTCCCCAGGTGGCGGTGGCCGGGTTCCCCCAGGTGGTGAGGTGGGGCCGGGCAGCCGGGCGGCCCGGGTGGGGCGGGGCTCCCAGGTGGTGAGGCGGGACGATGGGGGCGGCGGGGGCGGGGCGCCCGGCTCCTCCAGAGTGTCCATGGACTCGGTCCCG